TTTTATTAAAAATATCCAGGCGATGGTGTCGTGCTTGGAGCTGGGCTAAGCCACATCTATGTGCATTGAAATTAGACCTTAAAAAGAAAAACAACTAATTAATAAGTATATGTAGTTGTGTCAAAAATGCGACTCAACTCATTAAGTTGATGAGTTTAATATCTGTATCTTAGGAAAATGAGTCACTCGTATGTAAACTTGCTTCTATACAAACTGGAGTGAAATCATTTATCACTCGTATAAAAATAGTAGAAATTAATGCGTGTTAACACAGTACAAAGCCATTCATATTTGAGGGTAAAATCAATCAAGTGTCACACATTTGGATGCTAGAACCTATGCTATCTATGCTATTGCCCAAATCTTTTAAAGTTATATCTATCTATATTTTTGTACATTTATTTATTATAAAAAATATAAATTATTTGTTTCCATTGAAAAAAATTAATTTTCAAAGGTTATCCAAAATTAATTTATAAGATAACATAATTTGAACTATATAATTCTACATTAAAGTTATCTAAAATTTAATTTATATTTATTATTATTCCACTTGACTCATTTTTATCAATAAATTATATAATTAATTATGTTGGAGGTCATAAAGTAAGTTAGCAAGTAATATATTTATGAATTTCCGAAAAAAAATTTTTTTATGAATTTATGATTTTATCTTCACAATTCATGACCAACTATTGTCATACTTCACAAAAAAGTATATTTTAGGAAATTTACATGGTAAGGTCATATAACTGACTATGTTGGAGGTTAAAAAATAAGCTTATTTTTCATAAAACAAATTTAAAAAAATATAAAATATATTTATGTACGGTCTCTACGACGAATAACGCATCAAAGTTCATTTCACCACCACAGCACCAACCCTAGAATTATTAATATATGAATTTAACATATTGATACCCAAACAATTAAATAATATATGGAACAACTGGTTGCAGAATTCAAAATATATAAATAGGGAGGAATTAATATATGAATTTAACATCATGATACCGAAACAATTAAATAGATTAATATATATATCTTATCATATTTATAATTTTTAAAATTCATGAGAATAGATTTAAATAGTAAAATATAAACAGATATATATTAAAGTAAATTTTAATCCTAATATACATACATACATATATGTATGTATGTATGTATGCATACTCATTTTTGCCATAATAGTTGGGAATATATCATATCAGATTTCATATATTAATTTTTATTTATTTATAAATTTTTGAAATTCATGGGGATAGATTTAAATAGTAAAGCAATATTCTTTTTTAAAATATTTAAATAGATATGTATTAATTTAAATTTGAGTCCCAATATATATTTGAATATAAATATCCTAAAAATTATGAACCTAGAATTTCGCCATATATTTAGTTTGGATAGAGTGTTTAAATAAATAGATATTAATTTAAATACATATATAATTAGATTTGAATTTTAAATTGGTAAAAATAGATTTTTTAACACATGTTATTTTTCTAATATTTAAACACATACATATTGATCTAAAATTTAATACATATATACATATACATGTGTGCTAAAGTCTTTCACGGTGACCTGATATGAATATGCATATTATTATTATATATTATATGTATATATATTATATAATATAATATATTTAGATATTATATTTAGATATATATTAAACTAAATATACATGTCTCGAAGCTCCTTCACGGCAACCTTATCTGTTGTTATGCGTCTATGTATCCATATATATACATGTGTGCTAAAGTATGAAGTGGACCTAGATTTAACTCACAGTTAAATTGAACTCGCATCATTCAACACATATACGTGCACGAGAGAACACAGATCATGATGAATTGAATATACATGTGTGTGTGCGTACTTGATATGCAGAGAGAGAGAGAGAACAAAAGAAAGGGTCTGTGTGTATTAGGGTTTCAAGAAAAGAAGAGAGAAATGCGCGAGGAGGAAGAAAGGGATGGTTCTGTGGGTTTAAGCTAGTATAATTCATACAAAACATTATAAATAATTATAATAAATTATTTTCACTTACTCTTTACACTTTATTTCTTCCAAGCCCTACCATCATTATCGCAATTCATAAAGAACTCAAACCTATCATTATCAAACCAGATTTAGCTCACCTTTTATTTGTCTATATGAATCAACTAACCTGTAGGAATTAAAATATGAATGCATATGAAGAGAGCTTAATATAAGTGTATAAACTAACATGTATGAACCTATCACGTTGCTCTCGATCAATTCTCAAAAATTGGTCTCCCAAAATCAATGAATGAACATGTACATAGGAGGCTCTATTTATAATTAGCAGCAATGTTGATGTTGGAGGGAATTTTGAATTTAAACTTTCAATCAAATAAAATTTAAATGAAATTAAAACCCAAACAAAATAACTTATTATCAGCTGAAGTAAGGATGATTATTAATATTAACATATATAATTGAAATTAAAATTCAAGCAATCAATTTATAATCTCTATATAATTTAAATTTAAATTTGAATTTGAATTGAATATATTTTATAATAGTTTGCTTTTAAATAAGTATATTTTTCATTATCTACTATCTAATTATATAATGATATGATCAAAAATATATTTTAGTTTAGATTATATACTTCAAAAAATATATTATTATGAAAAAAATAATAGAAGAAAAACATATCAAGAGCTAATAGGTCATTTTTAAAATTTGGTCATCTTAATTTTTTTTTCGCACCTTAATTTTCTATCAAAACATTTAATATTAAAATAATTTTTTTAACTACAGCAAAACATAGAGAAAAAAATTCAAAGAACTAAAATTGGACATTATAGCAAAAAAAAAAAAAAGATAAACATATCTAGAGCTATTAAACCATTCTTAAAATTCGTTCATTCTATTTTTTTCCACCTCAATTTTCAATTAAAATGTTTAATATTAAATATATATAAAAATGATTATTTGAATTTTAAATAAATAGACCCAAAATCTTTAATTCTAACCGACATATTTATACTTTATTATAAGATAGATATTAATTTTTCTAAACAAATGTTTTAAATTAAGGAATTTTATCTAACAGGAATAGTTAACTGAATATATAATATGCTCATCTTCAATACTTTTTTAATTCTATTTCTTTTAACATATTTGTAATTGAAACAGATAGATCTAGCTAAATAAAAATAAATGCCAATCAGATTTTAAAGAAGATTTCAAAAATTATATGCATATTTGGATCTTAATTTTTAGGAAATTATTAGGATAGATAACAAATTTAAAATCAGCTTATTTTTTCTATATATATATATATATATTATTAATTTGAATTCAAATAGATAGATAGATACTTTATTATATCAAGCTAAAATTTAGGAAAACATTAGGATTGATTGAAATGCACAAATTAATCAAGGTATATTGGGAGTTTTAAATACAGATTAATTTTTCTAAATTTTTATTAGAAAGATAAATATTAATTTGACTTTCTAAATTAATTAGATAGACATATAAACATAATTAAACATTGATTTCAATGTCATTCCTTTGCTTACTCTATTGCAAGAAGGATTTACCATGTATGTTTGTAAAAGGCTCTTAAACAAATATAAAATAATAAAGAGGTCCCATTTGTAGAATAATAAAGAACAATTAAATTTATAAAGGATGAAATTATTGTCATCATGCCAATAGAAGGACACAACAAAAAAAATATAAAGATCTCAAAGACATTGGAAAAAAATTGAAAATAATATCCTAAGTAGTTAGACTAAGAAAAAGTTTGATCAGTGCTCATAATTAATGAATATAAAAAATATTTGATCATTTCTCTATCTTCACACGGTTCACGACCGATGAAATAAGTTCATCATCACTACTATCATTATTGACAGTCATGTCACGCATATTTTTTCCCTTTATTGAGGCACCAATTGGAAGGGCACGCATCTTGTTCACATTCGTGGAAAAATCACCACCATTAGCATCTTTCTCACTTAACTTTAGGCATGTTTTAGAGCTAATACTTTTTGAAAGAGTGCTTTCACCTGTATTACCAACTTCTGAGTCTACATGTGAAGTATCACATTCCTAATAGAATAAAATTTGTATTAAAAAATTAATATTTCATGCATTTTATTTATATTTAGAAAACAAATTTAAAAAATACTTACAGTTGTGGTTTCAGTATGACTGTCATTGTGTAGACTATTTGGAAGGTCATCTATGCCTTCCTTATATGCTCTTAATACATTTGAATCTTCACAAAAACGGGTCACTATGTGGCCAGCCAAGAAGCCTTGTTTCGCGGGGTCTCTAATGGAAACCTTGAACACAAACTCCTTCCCAATAAACTCATAAAAACAATCCGAAAGCACAACCTCATCTTCAGATTCCTACATTTATGATAATGTATTTTATGGTTGAATATCATATTTTATTTTATAAAATTTAATTATTAATATAAAATTAAAAAATAATAGAGTCATCAATATTAATTAAATTAAAATTGTCACTAATTCAATATCTATTATATGTGTATTGCTATTGCAATTTGATATTCAATATGTGTGTGCAATATTCATATTGCTATTAAACATAAAAGTGGCATTGAATACATACCTTAGGAATAGACTCTCTTAGGTGAGTAGCAGTGCAGTTTACAAACTTAGAAAATGCAGGATCAAACATAATGAATGTGTCAGATCCAGTATCATCATCTGCAGTAAATGTCACCTTAAACCTACAAACATACATGTAAAATTTTAGAATATAAATGAATATTATTTGCATTAATATGCAATTTTAACAAATACCTTGGTACAACAGTCTTGCCTTTTCTATTGCGCTTTGTGCAATAGAACCCATCACAATCAAGGAGTACTTCCTTATTACATTTCTTGCATGCATTGTAGAACCAATCCCTATTGGTATTAATATCAACAACAGTGCCAAGAGTCACAACTTCGTCCTCCTACAATTATATTAGCTTGTCATATCACACTCTAACCATCATACAAAATTAATATAATATTCATAATATACTTACAATATACACAATACTTACATGTTTACAATCTGATAGTTCTTCAATCTTAACCCTATTTGGCATTGCGAGCAAAGATTCACCAATAGACTGAGAATTTTGGCTAGTCAATAGCTCTATATCGTCATCCAAGTGATTACCTGACGCCTCAAGACCAAAAATAAAATAAGATTATATTAGTATAATTTACTTCTCAAAACCATAATCATAACCCACTGACAATAGTATAAACATGACATAACATACCAAATCAAAATTTTATAGTATGACAGACTCACCTAGAAATAAAACTGGAGACCTCTGGAATTGAAGGGTGTACAAAAACTCACGAGCAATACATTGTGCTAGTAAGCCTCCTCATTTCTATGTAAGAATCAAAACATTTAAAGAGAATGTATATATAATTGAATCAATATTGTTCAGACATTTATGTGAGAACACGTACTATTGAACTCTCTAATCTTAAACCACTGCAATATGATAATAACTGGCTTTTTTAGTGCCTCCTTTGTCAAGTTTAGTACATCATCTGCAAAGGCTCCCCATAAAGTACAACTCACCTTGTTTTTCCTATAATGATAAGAATAGTATCAAATGAATTTTCATCACAGGCACCAAAAATTAAATAAGGTTTCAGGTATATTAATTGATGAAGTTTGTGTCATATTACTCTGCATCTTCTAGGCTTATTTCTATTGTTTTTGTTTTTTCCCATCCTTAATCAGTTCCTCCAACTCTCCAATTCCAAATAATCTTCCAATCACATCTGTCATGAAAAAAAAAGCCATTTAATCACATGTCATTAAGAAAAATAGACCATTAAAGATTAAGATGGATAAAAATAGATAATTTAAACTTGGTAATTGCCCTACTTTTATTTGATTGGCGAGTTTTTTTTTCAAAAAATGCAATAAATTTTTAATAGATAAAAAAAAGATTAAAATAGGACATTATCAAATAGAGTTTTTTGAAGAACAAATTTAGAAAATTTAAATACATACCAATCAAGTAATTATCATTCGTTGTCTACCTATCTGCAATATCTAGAATATTAATAAAATTGAAGCCAAAACGATAGATTGAACCTGTCTCAGAACGCAACTTTATAGTAGTAGAGAACATGAAGCTAATCTTATAAGGATGATCTGTTGTTCGATACGATCCAGAGCACTGAGAGACTCTAAATTTTGAAATTTCATATATTTTAAAGGGATGCAACCTATCTTCAAAACGTCTCACAAAAGGTTTCCAAATAATTGCAGAAATCCGATCACCCTATGATAAGTTGATTATTAAAGTAATACTTAATCATAAATCAATATGAAATATAAGAACAAATAATACAAAAGTAGAAATCATTAAGGAATTTGAATTTTACTAAACTTAATATATGAAATTAATATATTTTGAGTTCCAATATACATGTCTTGAAACTCCTTCATGACATATTATTTTTTACATTTCAAATATCAAAAAATCAAAATTTTTTTAGACTCACGTGCAATGCATGGGCTATATAATTAAGGGGATCCGAAAAGCAAAATGTATAAACACTTACTCCAGCATCCTGGAAGACTAATTCAACACCATTGGATTCTTCGGATGTATTTTTACCTGGTAATCTCCAGATATGAATCACCCTAACCATAATGGGCCAATCTTTTTTTGTTGTGTTGATAGCATGAATAGCATGGATTTCAAAAGTAGAAGCCATGGGTATTATGAATAATGGTGGAAAGGAGAATGAACTTAATGCAATTAATTAGAAGAGTGACTCTAATGTGAAGTTGTAAAATGTGCTATTAGCCTAACCTAATTATTTATAATTGAATAAGGATGATTTGGGAGGGAAAATTAAGAGGTGATTTAAAAAAAAATCAAAATGATAGATATTAAAAATTATTTTATTCAGTGTAGATATTTAAAGAATTTAAATTTTACCAAACTTAACATATGAAATTAATATATTTTGAGTTCCAAAGTGCTTCACAAAACGTGATCTGTGTGTGTGTGTGTGTGTTTAGATATATATTAAACTAAATATACATTAATAATTGTATTAATAATATTTAGATATATTTTTTAAATTTTAAATATGTAAAAATCAACATTTTTTGAGGCTCACGGAATTATGAGATTTGCCAACCACATCTATAACTAAATATATATCATTAAATTTACATATATGAGATTTGCTCACGGAATTTCAAACTTATCATTAAATTTCAAATACATTTAGTTATGGGCGTTGAGGTTAGATATAATAACTGTAAATATATTATGTCAAATTTTAGAGACTAATAAAAATAAAATTTTAATTTTTAATCTAAACATATATGTATTAATTTAAATTTGAATCTTAATATATATATCAACATACAAATACTCCAAATATTATGAACCTAAAATTTAACAATATATTTAGGTTGGATAGAGTGTTTAAATAGATAGATATTAATTTAAATACACATATAATCATATTTGAATTTTAAATGTTTAAAAATATATTTTTCAACACATAAAATTTTCTGAATATTTAAACAGATTTATATTAATATAAATTTTAATCATAATATATACACACACACACATATATATGTATGTAGTATATAGATAAGGAGTTATGGACGTTGAGGCTAGATATAATAACTGTAAATATATTATGTTAAATTTTAGATACTAATAAAAATTATATTTATAATTTTTGATATTCAAGAGGATATATTTAAATAGTAAAAAAATTTTAATTCATAATCTAAACATATATGTATTAATTTAAATTTGAATATCAATATATATATCTGCATACAAATATTTTAAATATTATGAACCTGAAATTTTACCATATATTTAAGTTGGAAAAAGCGTTTAAATAAATAGATATTAATTTAAATACACATATAATCAAATTTTAATTTCAAATAGGTAACAATAAATTTTTAAACACATAATACTTTTTCTAAATATTTAAATAGATATATATTAATATGAATTTTAATAATATATATATATATATGTATATGTAGTATATATACATGGAATTAAGGATAGATATAATAACTATAAATATATTATGTCAAATTTTATATATTAATAAAAATCATATTTATAATTTTTGAGATTCAAGAGGATAATTTAAATAGTAAAAAATTTTAATTTTTAATCTAAATAGATATGTATTAATTTATAAAAATACTCTAAATATTATGTCAAATTTTAGTTACTAATAAAAATTATATTTATAATTTTTGATATTCAAGAGGATAGATTTAAATAGTAAAAAAATTTTAATTTTTAACTTAAACAGATATGTATTAATTTATAAAAATACTCTAAATATTATGAACCTAAAATTTTGCAATATACTTAGGTTGGATAGAGTTATTAAATCGATAGATATTAATTAAAATTTAAATATAATTAAACTTGAATTTCAAATAGGTAAAAATAGATCTTTAAACACATCTAAAAATTAATAATTCATTCTACACCTTACTCCAAACCTAAATATCATATTTTTTATTTTATAAAAAATAATAAAACTTTCCTAATCTAACTCCAAACCTGACTCCGAAGCATAGAATCACTCAAAAGGCATCTCGAAGCATAGAAACACGACAAACCTAAAATTGGACACATGGCATTCTCTCATAGCCTTAAACCCTACTTTTATATATATAATGATTAGCCTTAGTATGATTCACAGCGGTGAATGCATCATTGACCGTGGTGAATGACCTAAATTTTGTGAAATGATATTTTTTTTCTTTTTTGTAATATTTTTAAATGATTGATATCTCATACTTCTGTATACTCTATAACTCTAATTTAATATTATTTTAAATAATGTTTATTTATTTAATGGTGAAAAACTTGGGATCTCATTTGAAAGAGAACTTTAAATATTAGATAATTTTAATTAACTAATTAATTTGAGTTTTAAATTTGTTGATAAATCATCAATTTTTGCATTCATCATCTGTAAAATCCTATAATATTTAAACTTCTTTTTAAATAGGATCTTAAATTTTCATTATTAAATAAATAAATATTATTTAAAATAAGATTAAATTAAAGTTATAGAGTATATAAAAGTATGAGATATCCATCATCTAGAAAACATTGTAAAAAAGGGCAAAAAATGTCATTTAACAAAATTATGAGTTGCACCACGGCTAACGATGCATTTATCGAGGTGAATCATGTTGAGGCTAATTTGGTCTATATAATAATTAACATTCTATACATAAATAGTGGGAGTAATTTGCTTAAAATTTTAAAGTTTAAGGTCTAAAATCAGAATACTACTAACATAATAGCTTAAGGTCTGTGACGTTAATTAACAATGACACGTTAGCATCAGCTAGGACCTATAGTGAACAGTACTATATGAATAGTAATGGAGTTTAAAAATTTAATGGTCAAGGTTTATTTTGCTGTGAATTTAAAAGTTTATAATTTATTTTGTATATTTTAAGAGTTTAGAGTCTAGGGCATTTTTCAAATAAGAGTTCAGGGTCCTTTTTGCTCATTAACCCTATTAGATTTGATGGTGAGAGTGACTTAAAAATTAAAGTATATATAGGGATCAAGGTGAGATAATGAGTAATTTAATATCCAAAAAAATTTAACCCTGGTTTATTAACCTAATGAGGGTAATTAGTGAATTAATAAGTTATGTGGCCAGAGGGGCTTAACTTGGTGTATTTTTTATGATTTTAGCCCTAGAAGTGGTCCCGAATTGAAAGCGGTCCACCTGGGCAATGAAAGAATGAGGAAGAAAAAGTAAAGAATTTTTCTCTATATCATACACTACGGCGCGTGGTTGGTTCGCCACGACGCATAGAGACAAATTTAAATGCAAGGGCTCTTTTGTGCCATACACTGTGGCGGAGGGCAGCGTGCACCACGGCGTACAGGCAAAATATTTGATAAATCAGGTCGCGTCTATGCAAAAAAATAGAAGAGAGAAGAGGAAGAAAATGAAGAGAACATTGGAGCTCTGCTAGGGCACACTCATTAGCTCCCATTGTTGACATTTTGAAGCTCCCAAACACTCAAGGTAGGTAATCTAAGCCTTCTTCTTCCTTTCTCTCCCTCATTTATGATGATTTATGGTAGGGTTTGAGTTGAAAGGTGGATTTTTTATTAATAGGAGTATGGGTCCAATTTCATTGATTAAAATGAGTATAATGGAAGTTGTTTAATGTATTGGAATACCACATTGATGATTTTAGAAGTGGTTGGTCTATGGGAGCATTTATTATCCGAAAATTGATATGTATAAGGTAGTTGGGAGAGGTTTATGTATATTAATGATGGTTTGAGGTATTAATAGTGATAATGTGCATTAATGAAATTTAATGAGCCTATTAGGTATGCATGGGTAGTGATTATGAGTTGATAAAAGTAGAGTGTGTGAAGTTATATATGGATAAAGCTTCAAGAGTTAGAGAATGATGATATTCTTATGGTGTGGATGTAGTGAGGTTCATTGCTAGCACCATTCAAGCTTGTTGAAACTTTGGGAAGTTGTTATAGTGAGGGGTAAACCTTTGACCTCTCAAAATTTTAAAGTAATTAGGAGAAATTTAATCTTTCTAGTTGAACGTTAATTGTATCCGTGAAATGTGAATTATGATTAAGATTAAAAATGTATATTGGTAAAGTGGTTGATTTGTGAAATGGTTTTGGAAGGATAACTTTTATTATGCCACCTTATATTTTATGAAATTGTTTATAATTTGTTATTATGGGTGGAGAATTGGGTTGTATTATGTTGATTTTATGGAGTAATTGAATATGGTTATATGAGATTATTTGCCATTAATTAATTCTTGAAAATGCATAATATGTGATAAATGTGCATAGTATGATCATTGGTGGGAGTTCACCTAGGGTGAGGAGCAGATTGATTTTAAATCCACGTGGTATTAACAGTAATCGTTAGAATCGAAAACTAGCCTTAGCATCGATCGTTACAATTGAGAGGTAGCCCTTATCTCATGGTTGATCTGGGACTCTCCCATTTATTCTATGGGGGACTTAAACCTAATTAGTTTCCACCAGTTTATGAGAAGGCTAGATTAGGACTACAACATCTCACGGTTGTTAGTATTGAGAAAAACTGAATTATATAAGTGAGTGAATTCACTCTGGCCTGGTAGCTCCTCACAAGTGGAAGGCTGGGTTAGTTCGTGAATGACATAGCCATGATATAGCCACCGGTTTCACGTCGGAGGTAATAGGAGGATATAAGGTTGGCATATTATCATGTATATAAGTCTGGCCATGTGTTGAAGGTGCATGGTTGTTATTTTTGTGACCCTGTGTTATGTTTTGTGAATTAACATGATAATTGTATTGTGGCAAGCTCGATCACATGATTGTTAGTTTTATGATTCGTGGCTGAGTGTTATATGTGATATATGTGTTTTTGCTTAATGGCATCTATTTACAATTGATATGCAACTGTATGGGTTAAGTAAAACTTAGTTATTAAGTGGTTGTACTCATCTCTTAATTCTCAATATTTTCAAGACCTAGCTCATCGAATTCGAGTTGGAAAAAACATATAAAGGCCTAGGATTTGTGGAGTAATCCTCTATATGCCTCTCTTTTGTTACTTTCATGTGTATTTATTAATGTAATTGCCAAGTAGGATTATTTGACATGATTTATGCACTAAATGCATAATTTTATGTATAACCAGTG